AGTATAAGATCAGCTTTCAGCATATCAGCACTGTAAGAGGCCACACAACTAATTTGAGTATTTTTCATTACTTTCAACAGATATAATAGTGTCTCTTAAAAGCTTAACTTAAACTGAAGATACGTGTTTTAAGCCTCTCTTGGTAATTTTCCAAAATTTTCCAGATTTATCACCAAGAAGGACTTTCTGATTAAGGAAAATATTAACAGATACACTGTCCCAGGTACAAACTGAAACAATGCCCAGAAATGCCAAGAGACTCTTTTAATATCCCCAAAATATTTTTTCCCTTGGAGCTTCTAGGTCATTGCATTATCTTTAATAAATAAAAACAGAAGAATGTTTAAGAATGGTAGGCGTATGTGTGGGACAAAGTAAATGAATAAATACACCTAATCTGTATATCTGTCTGAAAAATTGAAGTTGCTTTTAAAAGCAGTGTGGTACACTTTATTCCTCTGAAGCTTTTTTCCCTAGGAATGTAGGAAATGCAGTAGCACTCAGATGGAGAGTCTAGCTCTTCAAGTATTGTGTTTGCCTGGAACCAATATCAGATATGTGGAAGGAAACCCTGTAACTGACAGAAAGTGAATGACAACTTCTCATGTTGTTGAAGGACTTTTTCCTTCATATGTAATAGCTGATCCATAGTAGCTGATTTCAGCATTTTGCCAGGTCTTTAGCATTTCATAAGGCTTTACTACTTTTGTGGACTGTATTAGGTAGCTGTGCTTATTCCCACTTTTGATACAGAAGTATTTTCTTCTCTTTTTTTTTTTCCTCAGTAACTCATTTATCACTCCTCTCAGCTCTACTAGTTCTCATTTTTTCCTGTCTTTGATTCTTTCACTTCCATTTTCTGTTCTCCCTCCTTCTCTTCTCAGTAGTAGTCAAAATGCATTTTTTCTCTCATCATCTACCCATGTACTGTGCTATAGTGACTGTACTCCTTTTCCCATTCTGCCACATACAGCAACCTTGTCCCTGTTCTCATCATTCAGTGGTGGACTTGGCAGTGCTGTGATAACTTTTGGGCTCTATGACCTTACAGGTCTTTTCCAACCTAAACAATTCTATGTTTCTATGATCATTAAGCTCTTTATATCCCCACATGTTATGTATTTATGTATCCACTTATCCTTATTTTCCTGCTTGACATACACAGGAAAGATGAAGAAATTCCCTGATTTGTTTCAAAATCATTTTCAAGGCAGGGTCACAAGCTTGTTCAAATTGTAATTCAGTCCATCTTTCCACACCCAAGGGAACTGGAGTCTGAATTTAGTATGAGGGTTTGAGATAGTTGAGAGTAGGTGTCTCCTACTCTCTTTTGCTCATTTAGAGACAGAAAAGATTTACTTCCTAGGAACTCAGCTGAAAACAGGTATTTCTAAATAGCAAGTATTGATAAATGCTTAGATCCAGAATGAGGGCATCTCTGGAAATTTGGCTCACTCAATCCTAGCAACCTGGCAACACAGGCAGTGACAATGATCTTTTCAGGTCAGGAAAGGGACTGATGTTTGACTGCCAAGCTGGGAAACATGGCTTTTCCTACAAAATGGAATTTTCAGTGGTTTTTTTTTTTCACATTAAAAACATTTAATTTTGCCACACATCTCAAATAGCCCATCCTCATATTACCAGTGCAAAACAAGCGACGATTCCATGACAAGCCGTTTGTTAACAAAAATAATTTGGATTTAAAAATAAGGTTTTTTTAAATCTTGATAGACTATTTTGTACAAAAAGCAAAATGGTTTTGCCTGCCTTTTAAAGGGAGAAAAAAAAATCTGAGGTAGCAATTATTTGAGAATATGATGCCTGATCTCATGACATTTTTTTCATTTCATTTGTCTTTATGGCTTTGTAGAAGATGTCTGGTATCTATCAACTGGCTTAAGCGAATTCAGTTTCCTTGCATAACACCCTCAAATCGTTTACAGTTACTATAAAATTCTGAAATACACTTACAGGTTTCATGAGGTGAACCCCACACATACAATGCTTCAGAGAGCACAAAAAAATTCTGCTTATTCATTTTGAACACCTGCTGTCACGACACTTCAAATACTTAAATGACATTTAAAGCAACTGTCTATTTTTCAGCCATTTAAACATAGACATATAGACAGATATACTACAAAATTCACTGCTTTAACATAAATCATCATTACATATTTGTTTTACAGTTTATTCCATAAACACATATATCCTCTTACTAATATTATATAAGGTCAGTTTACTGCATTTTTATGAAATAATCTTTGTAGTTACATGATGTTATCAAGACCATTCTTCAAGGCTGCATTATGTGTGACAATGAGCTTTGTGAGCACACATGCCAATTCAATAACATGTATTTCTTTAGAAGTCTGGAATATAACACTGAGATACTAAAATAGTACATCAAATATGTCCTTGCTAAAAAAAAGGTCTAATTAGAAAATGTACAATAATGAATCATATTTGTCAGTACTGAAAAAAAGTTAATAAAATTAGTCTGAGTCAAAAGGAAAGGTAATTAATTAAAAATATATATTCAATTTTATGAATTTTATAAAACTAATTATTTTGAAGAGTCTTTATTCTTCCTTTTAGGGCTTTTATGCTATTACAAAGTAATTCACACTATGAATGAGACATGCATAGCTTTGACATTGAAAACATCATTTGCACTCTTAGAATAATTATTCGAAGTGAGAAATTTGACTTATGGTGCAAGAGCTATTGGGCTAATCACTGTTTCTGGGGTAAATTCTGTTGTATACTTCAACCCTTTGGATATCAAAGGAGGTGTCAAGAGCCTGTTATTCCCTACTAGTGTGTCATAATTTTACACCAATTGACTGTGTACAACTGCTGCAAAAGCTCATCTATTTCCTAATAAAAAGCTTAAGAACTGCAAGCAAAAATATCATCACAAACAGAAAGAATTAAGTATTTGAACATTCAAAGGACCAAACACTTAGCTGAAGGTATTCTGATTTCACAGAACAATAGTTTATTATTTTTGTCATATACTTTCAGATGTTAAAGGTCACTTTCAGAAGGTGTTGCTCCGCCCTTGGGAGTAACAAGGTATTTTGGAAAACATAAGCAAATCCAAGGAAGAAATAATCAATCTGCACATTTGTCCAGCTTAAAGAATGAAGTATACTTATAAAAATTGTGTTTATATTATATTTAACTAGCAAATCCCTCAAAACTTCATGTAGTGAGCAAATGTCCCCCTTTTCCACTCTGGCTGAATTTACCTTTTCACTGAGAGCCACGATGATTTGGCATATTGAGACGTTCATCAGCAAAGGTGGAATAGAATCAACACCACATGATGTAGTTTATGCTACAGCTATTTTGCAGTTCAGTACTAATTCATGACAAAGCATAGAAACTCTTTGACTCTCTCTCTCTATGGATCACTGGAGGCACACATGCCTATGGGATGAATCACACTCTTAAAATCTGCCAAAAGCTGTGCCAGTTTGCCTCAGGTACAAAGTAACCAATATCACAGCAACAGTCTGCTGCTGTTGTAGGTCTGTGTAGTCACATGTGCTTTAATCTAAGAAATCCACTGTATGAGGAACATTTTTAGGCTGTGGCTCGGTAAGATTCTATATCCTTCTGTGCATCACTAGATGCCTCCCAGAAGCCCTTTAGCAGCATGTCTTTATGTACAGCATTAGGTGTAGGAAACAACACAGATGTGACTACCTGTGTAAAGAAAGAGAATGTGTCTGGTCTGGATTAGCTCTGTCAAATTCAGTCAGAAAACTGAAGTGTAAATTAAACACTGTCAGACGTAGTGTATAACCAGCTTACATACTTGCACACAGACAAGCTGCTGTCCTGCAAAACGTTCCAGTTTTTTTAGCATCTCTAGAAATTTGTAAGATATACTACGAAAAGTATATCTACAGTAAAATTATTCTGTTAACCATAACTGAACAAAGAGTTACGTCTGGCTGCTCTCTGGAGTAGCCATTTCATGTCTTCAAGTGCTAAATAAGTGGATGTATTAAGAATCTAAGATATCTCCCCACACTTTCATCAGAGCAGCCAGACTGCTCTGATCAGCCTCTGGAAGTCAGCAGTACATTACCTGTGTAGAGGACTTAGGCTCCAAATCTGATGCCTGAAGTAAATGTTACAGTCCATACTAACACATATGTTTATAGACACACAGACAAACAGTTAAATTCCTAAGTCCTACCTGTGGAAAGGCTAGATAGCTCAACTAATCTGTACTTGAGCAGTTCCATGGCATTGAAGGTAAAGGGTGAGAATCTGATTTGTCAAATTAGATGTGGCCTTCTGGGACCTTCAAAATCTGAAATTCTCTTTTGGCTGGCTCTGGAGTATCTGGTACCTGATACTGCAAGAAGGCTGGTTCAGTGCACAAAATCATGAAAATATAGAGAAACGTATAACTGTTCAGGAAGGAGAAGAACAAAAGAGAGCCAGTCCATTTATCAAATACACCTTTCTTCACATGTACAGAACCAGTCCCTTACCTTATATTTCCAGTTTCCCCTGAAGCTAGTGAGAGTGGCTAAATATTTGGTCCAGTTTTAATCAGTCACCACTTGGTCGTACTTTTCTGGAGTAAATTAAACTTTTGTTTCAAGAAGGGAGGACCACAGTAAGTTCACAGCCACTACAGTACAATTTTGATTCTGTCTCCGTTTACATGGGATACAATGAATCCTTACTGTTCCCACTGCTGTTCTGGGGACACAGGTCCAGCTCTAGTACATGGACTGCTTTCCTTATTCTCATTGCTATTTCAGCAGATCTATGACTCAGACTTTATGCCTCTTATCTTTGACTTTAGAGGCTGGTTTCCACAACTCATGTTCATAAATTCATTATGAAAAATCTTACTTCAAACTTTCCCTCCAGACTCAGAGAAAAGTGCAATGACTAAGGATGCAGCAGAACACCATTCCATTCACTAGTGGCATCAGACTATAAATTCAAAGGGAAAGAAATTTTCCTCTCAAAACCTAGATTCTGTTTTAATTATATAATTATAGGTGATAAAAAAGGTGTGAAAGAAATAATTTACAATTCAAATAGTAATATATCTGTAATATATTAGAAATATAGTTTAAAAATTTCTTCATACTCTTAATTAGTATAAAGTTTAATTTCATGCTTTGTGTAGAAATTGTAGCTTTACTTGTTACTGCTGTCTCAGCAGAAGGAAACAGAAAAGTTCCTAAGTAGCTAAATAACACTGGGAAATTAAAAAATATTTTATTTTGCTCTTTTTTTGATAATAGAAAAATAGCCTTTAAAAATACATTGTTAAACATATGGGCTTATACTAAAGTAGAATTGTATATTATATACAGTAAGGCAGTATATCAAATATTATCCCGCTAGTTTTTTCATGTTTAGTTTGCCTGGGCTGGGATATGAATGGGATGCAAAGTTTTCTATCATGTTGAAACAAAGCAAAAAAATCCTTAGAAGAATTTGCTATTTTACTGTCATTTGTAGAATATATTCTTTTTATATATGATTTGTCATATACAGTAACTCCTTTTTTCTCAAGGATTGAGAAAAAAAATATAAAGAAATTTTAATCTAATGTCAGAATGCATTCAGAAGAAAAGACACTGTAGATAACAATACTGCTGTGCAATGATTTATCTAACATAGGAACTGCTCCGATCACCATGGTGTGCTGACTGACCCGTAACAATTTTCATCTTTGTTGAACCTGCAGTACTCCCTCAGGCTTAATCAATTAACAGTTTTGCAGAACTGAATAATTATTTTACTAAGTGTTTTTCATGGCAGACAATATCCATTTCCTTGTTTCACTGTGTCAGAAATGTGTGTTAATGCTCCATGATTTACTTCCATGATTATTACCTCAACCCACTGTCTATTTTATTATCTGTACAATACACTCAGGAGACTAGGCTTTTGGAGGCTAGGCTTTTTTGAAGGACTGTTCGCTATGTGATTTTGTTTTACTGGACATATATAAGTATGTACTGTATTAACTGGTTATTTAAAGGAGGGCATAAAGGAAGATGGGTCCATATACTCTGACCCACTGGTCTCTCTTTTGCAGTCACTTGGAGCTGTCAGGCAGTAGCTCATATTTTTCTCAGCTTGACCTTGCTGAAGGTTCTGTGATGTTTCCATTGCAGGTTCTTGAGATACAGGTGTGGGCTGGATGCGTGAATCTGGCATTAATACTAGAATATTATGGTCCACAACTGTTGAGACCTTGGTATATTCTTTGCTGGTTCCTGGAACAGTGTATTTTTCGGTCTTTCCATTATTATCTTTATGTTTCAGTAATACTGTTGGTTCCTCATCTTGTCTGACTTTATGAACTTCTACATAGTCCATTAGTTTAGGATTCAAGAAAGGTGACTTGTCATTATGTCTGTTTTGTTTGACCTGCACTGTAGTTTGTTCAGTTATGGAATACTCCATCTCTCTTTGCTTTTCCATGTTGTCATGGACAGTTTCAGTGACAGGATATTGTGACTGATGCTTTTCTTCATTTCCCACCAAAACTGGTGAAATGTTCACATTTGTGGTACTCAGTATTATCGTGTGTGCCTCCACAGTACTGTGGTAGGCAAACATAGGAAGCTGATTATTAGGTAGTAACTGAACTGCAGGCCATGTGGATGAATTTGTACTCTCATTGTTAAAAAGGAGTGTTTCCTGTTCTGAGGCTATACACTGAGTTTCCCAGCTCCTTTTTGCTCCTTTATTTTCTTGGACAGGTCTTACATCTTGTGTTTGAAGTGCTGATGGAAGGGTACGAGGCTCCCTGCACTTCTCAGAGAGCAGGGAAGGGCTATCACAGCTCCCTCGGCCCGAGTCACTGTCTGTTTCCTTGGGTATAATTTTTGTATTTTTACTGGGATTGTCATGACTTGGCATGAGTTGCTGATCCTCACTGTCCTCTACCTCCAGATATTCTATCAGTAGTTCATCACAGTCTGACGTTGGAGGGAAACCATGGCAACCAAGAGCACTCAGTAATTCTTCAGATTTTCCTGTCTAAGGGAATAATAAATAGGATATAATTTTTCATTATTAACCTTAGGGTTTATCTGACTAGAACAATTGTGAACAATTTACATATTTGCTATACAAACACTAAAATAGTTATATCACTAGACCTAAACTGGATTTCTACTGCTGCAGAAAACACTGACAGAAAGGAAGAAAATTTCGAAAATGGGATGACCTGGGAGCTTTTGACGCGTGTGGGTCTCCTGAGTTTAACAAGAAAGAAATGGAATAAAAGTGCAGCCATGTCCTGCCACCTCAGCATGGTAAGAACCAGTAGGACTTCCATAAGAACTGTTAGGAAGACCACACAGGCATTTCCTCTGGTGTTCCAGAAAGCAGCCATGGTCACAAACCTTGTTCTCAAACACTCTCCTACTACAAGTGTGAGGCAAAACTCTGTCTCACACATACCCTCCACACGATCAACCTGAAAGTATTACCTATTTTAAACACTGATTAATTGAAGGAATTTCATCCTTTACTAGGGTAATTGTGGTTGCTAGTACGTAAGTTGGAAAAGTAAGCAATAGTGAATTCTTTTCATGTTAGCAGTGGTACTTACCTCTAACAGATGTTTATCTATGCCTTTTATCTTTGGTCCTGGAACTGGTGGTAGGATAAAGGCCATCATTCTGAAAAAAAACCCAGAACAAACACACCATGTGTAAGTATGGGCCCTATCTCACTATTTGTTCTCCGATTTCCTCAGAATGTGACTGAGATTTTAAATGCTTCTCCCATATTCGATATGTCCCTGTTGGACCTCTGTTTCCTGTCTACCCCTCAAGCCAGATAATTCACAAATCCACAAAGTACTCTTAGAGGCATTTATTAGAAAAAAAACAGTACAAAGTTATTCAACTGGAAATGTAACACTGCTAATGTCCTTTTATTGCCTTTAGTCCCTTAACCTCTGATTCTCTAATACCACTGTAAATTCATCACTGGCCAAGAAACAGTGAAATGGGGCACAGTTCAGGAGGACTAGGGGTCCTGTCTCTGCATACTTGACTGTCAGCTGACTACTACTCAACAGGATTTTTGGTGAATGTCTTGGCTTTTCCAAACACAGTTTCTATCTTTCTTCTACTCAGACAGTACTTTTTTGCAAGACTTGTACAAAAGCAACATCTTTCTCTTTCAAATTTGATTGAAATTAGCCAGCACTGTAATAAATTATTCGGGGAATTGGCAGACAGGTGGGCAGAAAGACAATCTCATAATATAACCTTGTTCGCTTTAGGAAATCACAGCAAGACCCAAAGGTGTATCTTCTACAGAAGCAGGGATACTCCAAGTGATGTTTGCTGAATTATTTACATGGCTAACCAAGATTCTCAGATCTAACAGAGACATGTCTTTATCAACTGAGAATTTAGCCTGGTTTCCCTAAGGAGTAGAAATACTTCTTTATCAGTGTAACTAATAGTTTGTAAGAGAACACAGATGCTACAGGAAATTGAGTCAAATATTTGAAGTCTACTTTTGAAAAGTTTTCTGCGATTTTGAACTCCATGCATTTGTGAAACTGGTGACTTACCTGTACCCTTTCAAAATCATTGTCCAGCTCATGATTAAGCATATTAGAGATGACAGGACACCAACAATGATCCACACAACCATATCTTTTACTCTATAATCTAAGAAACAAACAGAATTATTTAAGGACATACATCTAGTACATGCATAGTCAGCATGCACAAGAAGTCAGAGGTGACTTTTATTTTAAAAATTGGTCTAAACTGCCAAACTTGGTATTGAATTTAGAGGGCTTTACTAGCATATATGGATGTCAACAATCATTGTAATATCTAATAATGAATATAATTTTTACTAATGGTACTACACAGGAAATAAAGTGTCTTGGAAAAATTATACAAAAATGTATGAAGAGGAAAATTTTGTCACAGCCATTTATAGCAACTAAGTTCAAATCCAGTGGTACCAAACCCACAGTCATGTCATTATCAAATACATATCATACAACTCATTAATTAGGGGGTTAAATGACCTAGGACTAGCTATTTTAAAGTATTTTTATTGTAAAATAACACTTTTTATACAGAAGCATTGATTTCAAATTAATTCCATATAAATAGTAATACAAGCTGTTACTGTCTGAAGGTAGTCACTTTTTGTTGCCTGTGTCACAGTTTAAAAGCACTTACCAGTCTTCTTTTAATTAAAAACTACCATCATGAGAACAAATGAGGCAATAGACAGAAAGAGCATGGTTTAAATAAGCAAAGAAATTTATTCACCTTCTTAACACCATAAAGTAATGAAGGGGAAAGCTAACTGGGTATGGTGCAGGAGCGATAATAATCCAGTTACCTTAGCAACGATGTTCTTGCCTGTCCTGGGGAAAATATGGGATCTGCATGGGTGCCACAAACAGCTAACAAACAAAAATACAATTGCACGTAATAACAGTTGCTGAAGGAATGCCTGGCCACTCACCAGTAGGAATCTGAATGTACATTTCTGGGCTCCACTCGCTCCATGATCCGTGGTGGTCTGGTTTGCAGTGAATCTGTACAATGTACCTCTTTCCAGGATTTAAACTAAACATTTTACATTGTGTTTGCTGTCCAACAAAAATAGTCTGAAAATTAAACAAAAATCACAGCTAAGGTTTCGGTAACCAAGACAGGAATATAGAATGAGTCTGGATAGCATTTCCTAATAATTATTAAGCAGGCATGGAATAATGGCACATGTGTTTTATTTCTAAAGTTTAGCTTTCTAACATCCATGGGAATGAGATCTGGCTCTGGTATACAGTGCAAATTAAACAACTATAAGAACACATCATGAACATATGGCACATAGGGAGGAACTGTGGTAATGGTGGGAATTGTGATGGTGACAGCAACAGAAGGAGGCAAGAAACAGAGATGGGGGAAGAAAATGCAGAGAGAAAGAGGGAATGTCAAGTTGGTGGAAATTCACAGGTTAGTAAAAAGTAGGTCTTTCAATGGCCAGGGGGCTGGGAAGTGCTGTGGGAGGGGGAAGGAAGGAGAAGATACAGAGATGGTTTGGAAGGATTGCAGACAAGAAGAGGATGCAGTCAAATACCAAGATGGAGTCTTTCATTTGCCACTCAGTTGTCTGAGTTGCAGATTCTGGCTATAGACAATTACTATTCTGTGGCCATTAAAACAACCACCTAATGACCATTTATATAAATTTAAATTATTTTCATAATGTCACTGAGCTTTCTGTCACCTAAGAAGTGCTCATGGTGAAGAACAAATTATCACAAAAGAAACCTGACTAAATGAGAACAAACAATTTAAACTGTCATGCCAATATGATTAATATAAAATGACCACAATTAAAAACAAGTACTTTACCACCTGCTATCATACAATAACATCTGAAATACCAGTGCTCTCAGCAGGAAATTTTGAAAATTATGAACTATTCAGTGCCTCTGCTTCATTGCATTCGTGCATGGAACCTGGCTGAAAAAATCTAACTGATCAGAAAACATTATCTAGCAAAAACTGCAACATCCTTACCTCCCATTCCTCTCCTTCTTCAGGCTTTAATCGCAATTCGTATTCAAGAGTAAGCCATCCAGATCTGACATCAGCTAGTGGAGGTGGAGACCATGTCAGGACCAGATATGGTTTTCTATTTACTGACTTTTTTACTTCCAGAGTTATGTTCACAGGAGGATCTGGCTGTACTGTTAAAATAAAGAACTGTCAAACAGAGTTTTATTTACTTTTTCCTTGCATCCTAGGAATAAATACAAAATTACGTGAGTGAAGAGTCATCACCTCCATTGTGTCCAGTAATTTAGAACTGATGTTGGAATACAGAAATCAAGAGTTTCCAGATAAAGTAAGTATGGATTTATAATTTGAAAAAACCCCTGAAGAATAGTAAATATGTTGAATTCACGTTGAGATTTGCCTTAATCATTAATCAGCAAAAATGTTTTTTCTTCCATTACCATTTCTTGCTGTTTTTCCCTACAACCATGTTTCAAAGTTAACATCTTTAATGTTAAGATATGTTTAATGATAATCTTATCAAGGTTTGGCACAAATATTTAGAAATGCTGAAAACACAGATGAAGCTGATGGAACTTGCCCCTTCATCTTTTACATTCAGAAAATACAACAGTGTAATCCCAAATGCATATGTAAAGTATTTAAAAGTAAACTGAAACAGCAATATTAAAGTTCTGGCTATATCTCAAAAACAAACCAGAATGGAACAAAGGTTTCTGCTCAGACAGGCTTGCAGCTTCCTCAGTTCAAAGGTAGATCTTCTGCATACATTGTGCGTGTATTTTACCACTGTCTGATGCAAAACTTCATCAAGCAAGCAGCCATGGCATAGAGATAAAATATGAAGCAGCCCTTCAGCAGCCCTTTTCCAGCTGCCAGACTCCTGGCAGCCAGATCCTTGGTAACAAAATGGTTATCAATGATAATGTTCCATTCTGTTAGAAAAAAAAACCCCAAATAGTTGTACGCAGTCATTCTGTGGAAAAAGTCTGAGAAAGAGATTATCAGTACACTGCTATAAAAAGCACTAATGCAGCTCCTCTTGGGTCTGGAGAGTCCTTTTATGTAATCAAATTTAAGTGTTATTTGTTAAAAGATCAATTTGATTTCGGCTGCTTGTACAGTGGAAAAAAGATTTTAGCTGGATGATGTTTCTTAGAGTTTGACTGAAAGAAATACAGAAAAACAATAAATGGTTGTCTGAACATAGTTTTAAAGCTTTTAGCATTTTTATGCTTCCTTTGAAAATAAAACGGTAAAGGGATGAATATTGATGTGTTATTATATCAGAGAAGATCTTATTTGTACAAGTCTTTAACATGGATATAATACCACATATGAGAAGAGCTGGAATTAAAATTTTTGTGCCAAGACCCATGATTCTGAATTATTTGTTTCCACAGCAAATACTTTTTAACTCTTACCTATGTAAGTCACATCCACGTAATGAGGATCAGAGACATTACTTCCCATTTCATTAGTTGCCCTCACAGTAATATTGTATATGGTCCAGAAAGAGGTGTGCTTTTTATCGAAGTAGCATGAATTGGGGCCTGCAGTTTTGTAATCTGGACATTCATAAACTTTTTCTTCTCTGAAATGGAATAATCGCAGTGATTAGGTTACACAGACTAAAACACCTGACTTTGATTACTAATATGTCAGCATCATTGATCTGATTTTTCATGCCTGGTGACGTGAAGAAAATCAGAAAACTTCTTCCAGACTAGACTAAAGAGTCACTGGGCAATTCCAGAGACTGTAGTAAGCATTTCTCCCCCAAAGCAAAGACAACAAAGCCTGTAGAATTTAGGCTTTTGTAGATGCAGTAGTGGGCTAGTAGAGTAAAGCTCTTACTACTCAGAAAGCCATTGTCCACTGCATAGCTCTTACATCTTCCAGAGAGTAAGTAGAAGTGATTGCTGAAGTTTTCTAAGCTATCTGTTAAAAACTATTTCCAATGTTGATTTCACATTTACAGAGAGTTCTGCATATTACACTAATATGCTTTCAGAATTTATTTTTAATTTTTATTTTTATTTTTATTTTATTTTATTTTCATCACTTTTCAAAAAAAAAGTCTACTTTGTACCTGTCCTCCAAATCCATTTCCAAGTTTCCCAAAGTAAAAGCACGGATAGGAGAAAAAGTTAAGTATGTAGCACTTGTTTCCAAACTCCTCTGAGATGCACTGTGACAAAAGAGAGAGTTGTGGATGTGGACCTCATACTCTCCCCTACTTGGATGGACCAGTACCTGTCTTTTTCCAGTAAGATCTAGCTCACAGCTGACAATTACAGAATTTAGCATCCAGTTAGGTCAGTGCAAGGCTGAGCAGTGCCAGGTGAACCAAAAATGGTTTACAGAACCTAAAAATATATATTGACTATTTCTTTAAAATGAATGTTTAGCATTTGATCTAAGTTCCAAAGAAATATTACTGCAGAAGCCACAGGGTATTCATGGCCTATGAATACCAGTGCAAAATAAGCATTATCAGAAGATGAAGATTTTAGTATCTGGTCACTGGTCACTTTGGACAGTTTTGTTTCTAGGGCTGCATGACCGAAGAGTTACAGGACTGTGATTTGTATTGCTTAACAATATGCAGTTGCTGGACAATGGTAACTTTCAAGACAATCCATCTTTCTGAGTAGAGTAATTCACAGTAATTCACAATAATTCACTAACCTTATAAAGAGATCTTATTTCACTCTTAAATACATTGCTGCTTTAGCACTCTTTCAGAATATGCCACTGGACAAAACCATGTACTACAGAAAATGACATCTCCCTAAATGCAAAAACAATCAGGATGGATTTTCCAGGTCCTTCCAATAAAACACTGTTTATATACAGTTTATTACCCCTCTTTGCTGTAAAGCAAAGTGTGGTTAATAGGATGTCCTCCATCTGAACCAGGTTTCCACCAACAAGTAAATGTTTCCTTTTCAGGAGAACGGCACTTTATTATGGTAGGCTTTTCAGGAGGTGACTCTCCTGGGAAAGACAAAGAAATAAACTAATTAGTAAGTTGCATGTATTCGGTCCACCCTGAATTCATAAAACAATGTCAAGCAGAGCACAGGAAAATACAAAGAAAGGAAAAGTTTTGCTTTGTAGTAGCACAGGAAAGGAGGGTCTGTTCAGTGGTTCAGGTAAGAGCTTAATACTTTCACCTGGATTCAGAATCCTTTCTCACTGCAGCCATGTTGAAGAACTGCTTCATTTCTCTGACTCTGTCTCTTCTCTGTCCCAAAATATCATAGGGACTGCTCAAATACTGCAGCCTCTCTAAAATTATTTAAAATACACTCTACTGTACAATCTATTTTCTGTGCTGTCCTCCTTTCACCTGGGATAATTTTTTCTCAGTAGCTAGTATAGTGCTGTGGTTTGGATTCAGTATGAGAAAAATGTGGACAATACATGGATGTTTTGGTTGTTACTGTCATGTTTATCCTAAACCAAAGACATTTTCGTGTTTCCTGCTCTGCCAGTGAGGAGGTACAAAGCAGATAAAAAAGGTTGAGAGCGAGGATAGCCATGACGGGTGACCCCAACTAGCCATAGGGGTATTCCACACCAATAGAACATCATCCCCAGTATACAAACTGGGGAATTATCTGGAAGCGGGGCTGACCAGGGTGTAGGGATGGGATTTGGCACTGGTCAGTTGGGGTGAGCAACTGTATTGTGCATCACTTGTTTCAATTACTTAACTGTTGTTATCTCAACCTACAGGTTTTACTTTTGATTCTCTTCCCCATTTCACTGGGGTGGGGTGTAGGATGTGAGCGACCAGCCATGTGGTGCTTATTTGCCAGCTGGGCTTAAACCACAATATACAAAAACCATTTTTTAATTCAAAAAGTGTGTTTGAAGATTATTCTGGTCGTTTAAAAAATATGCTGTCATTTGTTTTGGGCTTTAGGTAAGAAAAATGAAGAATGTAAATGTTTGCCCATTTGTTTATGTCCTTTCCAGTAATTCTCTTCTGAAGTACCTATGATCTGTCTCCAAAGATACAAAGAAGCAGCTCTCATATCTCCTTGTAGTGTTGTTATGTTCAGTACTCAGGATGCTCATCTGATTGCTGCCAAGCAAATTTTTATAGACTCAAGCAAAGCGTTTAAGAGTAGGGCAGAGAAAAATACTTAAATTTTGAATAGGATGTTGCCAGTCAAAACCCTTATGCGATTGAAACTTCTGCAATTATGCACTTGTGGCAAAAATGCGATCCTATTACATCAATAATAAATATTTCGTACTATGCAGAACAGAGACATTGATTTTCCAAATTTCTAATTGCCTGGTGCAGATCCGAAAATGGGTAATTTAAAAGATATTTTTCTATTAACAGTACTTCATGTACTTCATGATCAACAGTAACCTTCATGTCAAGTAATGAATAATACAACTAAGAACAGAAGAAGAAGATTTGAGACAACCTGGCTAAAGTGTCTGGCAACAAGATACAATGTCATGCATATTTAGTGTGCCTGCTCAAATCCAAGAAAACATAGATAATGAATTCCACGTGGTAGTATCTGCAAGTGTCGTGCTCTGTTAGACATGGCAATGCTTTCAGTCTAGGTTCTTACACTAAAACCATTACCTGACATCTGTAGTTACGTATAAAATCAATGTAATTTTTAAATTAAGGGACAGGAACAATAAATTATTTAGGCACACCTGCATCAGAAGTGACTTCCTCATACCACTTTATTTGTCATAGCCCGTTTCAGCAGAGGATCTTGAGTGAATCAAAAAGACTAAACAAGCAATTACACAGAAAGTATATTAAAATGCACTGAGCTGTTCCTCCAGCACTATGAAGTATCTGTGTGAGAAGCCAGGTTTTCAGGGCGACCATTCAGGCACCTTTCACAACACTGAACCTGATAGAACTTAAAAACAATTTACAGAACAGCAATCACCATCCCCAACTCACCATTGGGGATTTGGATGTTTCTTTCAGAGCTCCATTCGCTCCATTCTCCAAGGTCTAACATGCAACGGACCTGAACAATGTACTTCACCCCAGCTTGTAACCCGGCCACCTTGTAGTGTGTCTGCAGTCCAACAGATATCGTCTGGAAAAGAAAATGGACTGGGAAAATAATAAAGAATTGGGACATTTTAACAAGTAACAATAAAGGAATAGGCTTGAGTTACTGAATTCTGAAAGTCTAGAATTTCAGTTGGTATTTTATAAGACGTGAATTACAGAGGAACAAAGGTAGTGACTTTGCAGAAGAATTCACTTCAACACTGAGATTCTGATACTCAAGAACATACTTAACTGTAGCCTTCCTAATACTCCATCAGATCCACACCACCAGGAACACATTAGGTAGTCCAGCTCACATATAAACCCTTCTGTAATTCTTCTCAGTGGCTTTAAGTGCATTTTTCAGGTCCTTTGAATTTCTCTTCAGAACTCTTTCAAAACACATAGCTTTCTCCATCATTAAGGCATCGACAATTTAGGTAGCATTGAGGACATTTGACTATAGCTTTAAGAATGATAATTTATCCTGAAACCTCAGCTGTGGGAATATTCCTATGGTGGGGAAATGTCAATGGAAATGGTGTGTGCGAGTAGGACACCAAAATTTCTGACTGGTGGGTTGCCTCCAACTGATTACACTGAAGAGTATGATGACAACTCTCAACCCAAATAAATAATAATTAGGGAGCAACAGAGAGACTTCTCAAGGTTAAACTTGAAAACCACTAATAAATAAACAAGAAAACTTGTAATAGTGGGTGAGGCACTGGAAACTTCAGCAGTAGCTGAAGTGTAGTTTGATGCTCTCAAAAGTTGCTCTGTCAGCATCATGACCTCTCCCTGGGCCAGCCAGAGCAGCCTCCCTCTCTGATGCTGAGAGTAGCTTCTCTCCAGACAGCGTGGGCTGCAGCAGGCAGGAAGCCACACCTGGGTGTCTGCATGTGACCATGTGGCTCCTTTCTCACTGATGCGTGTCTTAGGATACTGTAAGAAGGGACATGAGTTCACATGATGTTAAAGCATCCATGTCACCCACAGAAGTGGGTATAAATAGGAGAGGGAGGAGAGTATGCTTGTAACCTACCCTTCCTGGGAGAGGGGAATTTCTGTGTATAGTGTATATATGTCTGGGACTAGTTATAGAAATGTGTTTATAAATTTGTAGATGCCTAGTAACAATTTTGAGTGCCCAGTATTGTGATTCACCTATTGCATTGCTGAGTGATTGCTGAGTGCTGCATAGTTAAGTGATTAATTTATTAATGAATTAATAAACTGTTTTGATCTGGATTTGTTTTAAACTATATGAACTGTACAGTCTTTTATTGTCACATGTGGGATCATTACAAATAAATATTAGATCAGTGGACTAAATAGGGTTTTGCAGTATATGACATTAGGATGATTATGCAAACACATTGAATTTCACAAACCACTACAGTATTTTTCTTTCAGATTTGGTTCCATTAATTTTTCTACCCTTACAGAAACTAAAATTTTTATTATATCAGTTAAATTGAGACAAGAGAACTCACTGAATAGAGCATTTATACAATAAATATACTTTTCAATTACCTCCCACTCTTCCTTTTCCTCAGGTTTAAGTCGTAGCTCATAGTGATATAGATGTGAATTAGAGCTGACAGCAGCTAATGGAGGTGGAGACCATTTTGCCCAAAGGTATGTTATACTAGCAGATGTTTTTGTTTCTAGAGAGAGGTTCACAGGAGCATCTGGCTGAACTGTATAAATGAATGAAAAGCGTGCCATTAATAACTTAATTTTCCCTCAGAAGAGGCACCTCCTTTATGGTTTTGTATTTCATCACATTAATTTCAGATCATTCAGCACTTCTGTAAGGGAATAGTACAATAGCCTTTTATTTTTCCTTTCTCCCTAGCAAGTTTAACCAGCTACTGATCCACCAGTATCAGCAAATCTTAGACTTTACTCTGAACTTGTCAGGCTAAGGAAATCAAATCATAATTTCATTAGGCCACTCTTGCAAAACTAAAATATCAAATATTTCATAGCTAAACCAACTAAGTACATTATCATTATAAGGTGTACATCATGTGTATGCAGAAAGCAGAACAGAGCTGCGAATATTAAATACTACAAAAAGCTCAGGCAGTTATTTTTACCCTCCTGAGACTTCAATGCCAGCAGCCATAAAGATGTTCACATTTGGAAAATTTAGGTAGCTCAACCTAATGAAAATTTTATAATCTGCATTGAGTCTAACTGAAATACTGGAGACAGCTACAAACTGCAGCCAATTTTTAAGCCAAAGTTAAAATGGTAATAAAATATGTAGTTACTTAATTCATAAGTAAAATGCAGTTTTCACATAAATTTAAAATGCATATTTTAGATCATCTGTAGATAAACACTTCTCCATATCAAGTTTCACATCATGAGGAAACAAATCTTTCACCACTACTTGTTCTGGTATTAAAAACTGCATACATCTCCAACTAGCTTGTTTTCCATTTTATTCTTCTCTTTTTACCTATGGAGGTTACATCCACATACTGAGGGTCTGAGCTGTTACTTCCAATCTCATTCGTTGCCATTACAGTGATAATATATGTTGTCCAGGGATTAGTGTGGTTTTTATCAAAGTAGCAGGAATTGGGACCTGATGCTTGGTAGTCTGGACATTCATAGATTTTTTCTTCACTGAAATAAAATGATTTAAAAGTTAAAAGTTCAGGAAATAAAGCAAAGCAGGTTTTATAATATTCTAGTAATGGCCTAGGTTCAGCAGAGAAATTTGAAATGGTTATATATAATCATATTATTTTTATATATAGATACATAATATAATTCTATTACATGACAATATAATAATTGTATATAATACATATAATCTCAACTCTGGGAAACATTTTGGTATCAAATGCTATTGCTATAAGTGCTTCACTGCTATTTTTACTGTAGTTTTTCTGGATGAGTGCTCTCACTCCTTTTTTTTATACATAGGAATGTCAACAAAAGAACGGAAAGAGAAATTTCCAGAGACAGCACAAGGCAATTTTAACAATATTTATAAACAAGTAAAAGGGAAAGTAAAGACATTCACTTGGACTAAATAAGAAAAGTTGCTAAACATCTTCTTTGTGTATTACCCCTGGAAATAAGGCAGATGGGCCCTAAGGCAGAGGACTGTTTTATTGATTAGTTTGTTTTCAGCAAGATCACAGTAGCATTTAGGCTGGGAAAGACCTCAGAGATCATTGAGTCCAACTTTTGACCCATCTCCACCTTTTCAACTAGACCATGAGACTGAGTGCCACATCCAGTCATTTCTTGGAACACCTCCAGGAATGGTGACTCTACCACCTCCCTGGACAGTTCATTCCAATGTTTAAACACCCTTTACATGAAGAAATTCTTCCTGATGGTGAACCTGAAACTCCCCTGGCACAGCCTGAGGCTATTTCCTATCATCCTGTCTCTAGTTATGTGAGAAGAGGCCAACACTCATCTCACTACAAACTCTTTTCAGGTCATTGTAGAGAATGATAAGGGCCCCCAAGCCTCCTTTTCTCCAGGCTAAACACCCCCAGCTCCCTCAGTCACTCCTTACAGGGCTTGTGCTCCAGCTCTGCCGCTCTTCTCTGGTCTCACTCCAGCACCTCAATGTCCATCCTGAACTGAAGTGCCCAGAACTGGACACAGCACTCGAGGTGAGGCTTCACCAATGCCCGATCACTGCCCTGGTCCTGCTGGCCACCCTGCTTGTGACACAAGCCAGGATGCCATTGCCTTTCTTGACCACTTGTGCATGCGCTGGCTTATGTTCAGCCACTGTCAAACAGCATCCCGAGGTCCTTTTCTGCTGTGTGATTTTCCAGTTATTCTTCCCCAGTCCTGTAGTGTAGCCTGGGTTGTTGCGACCTAAGGGCAGGACCTGGCATTTGGCCTTGTTGAACCTCATCCTATCGGCCTTGGCCCATCAATCCAGCTGTCCTGATCCCTCTGCAGAGCCTTCCTACGCTCCAGCATATCAACACTTCCTGCTACCTGGTGTCATCTGTGAACTGGCTGAGAGCGCACTTGGTCCCCTCATCCAAACCACCAATAAAGATGTTAAACAGAACTGGGCCCAACACTGATCCCTGGGGGACACCACTAGTGACCGACCGCCAACTGGATGCAGCACCGTTCACCACCACTCTCTGGGCCCGGCCCTCCAGCCAGTTCCTAACCCAGCACAGAGTGCCCCTGTCCAAGCCGTGGGCTTCAGGGGTATCTTTGGGAGACGGTGTCAAAGGCTTTGCTGAAGTCCAGGAAGACTACATCCACAGCGTTTCCCTCATCCACCAGGTGGGTCAACTGGTCATAAAAGGAGATCAGGTTGGTCAGGCAGGACCTGCCTTTCCTAAGTGCATGGTAGCCGGGCCTGATCCCTTGGTTGTCCTGTACATGCTGTGTGGTCACACTGAAGATGATCTGTTCTATGACTCCTGATGTTAATTTACCTGGTTCTTAACATGATCATTATCACAACTATCTCAAAAGAAAAAAAATCTTATTAGTTCATGGTCTCTTAGAAATTATTTTTATATGGGTCTTCAGCTTTTTCAGGAGAGGGATAGTTTTGTACTCGATTAAAGCTGAACTGGGTGATGTACTCACAGCATACCCCAAGTGTGAAGAATTACACAACCGAAAGCACCAGCTGATGTGGTGCAAGAATGCATGTTAGTCCCACTCTTATGCTCTAGACACCACTAATAATATCTCTTAGTTTCCATGCTCTAGACACCACTAATAATATCTCTTAGTTTCCAGGCAATTTCGTCACAGTTCTCGAAGAAAAGATGTGAGTAAGAGGATAGTACCTGAGAGACAATGAGTCTAGAAATGCAGTTGTGGCCCAGATCTAGAGTGCTTGGCAGTGTCTGTGTTCAGCAGATTTAATGAAATGGATAAGCACTCCTAACCCTCCCTAGACAGGGCTGTTCCGGGCAATGATACATATAACTTGAAACGCTCATTAAAATTTGTTTTGATGAAGACTGAAACATCAGGGCTTTAATAAAATAAAAGCTCTTAGATCATTGTTGAGTGTGGTAACTTTATTAAAGGCTGCATCTTTTCTGCTCAATTAATACCAAATTATTTGGAATTTATTTAATTGAAGTAGGGATGTCTGAGGCTTTACCTTATCTATTCTGAACCTCACTGGATTTATTCAAAGAAATTTAATCTCTGAGCCACCCTGCCTGCTTGGCCCTGTTCAAAGACCTCTTGTTTTCAGGAAAAAAAGTATAGTTATACAAAGATACACAGGTTAAGCAAAGTTGCCAAACATATACACATTTTATTCCTAAACAGGATGAAGGAGTCACAGACTTTACTAAAACAGCAACTTTGAGAAGTGACACACAGATCTGATTTCATTCCATTTTGGGAACCAGGAAATTGGCTACATTTCCAAGAGGGGAAACAATTACTCTCTATACTCCAGGTGGGGTTTTGCTGGGCATGCTAATGGACAGCCTCTTTGGCAGGGACCCAAGGGAACCCTCAGCCCTGACTGCTTCTGCCCAGCCTCCCCAGGCACCCCCAGGGCCCCTTGTCCCTGTTCCAGCCTGTTGCATCAGAGATGGTCTCCAGGTCCCCATGGCCCTGCACTTCCATGGTCCCTCCTAGCCAGCTTGTGCCAGCCAATGTGCTGATGTACTGACCCAGCCTGGTCTCAGTCTATCCCTGTCCCCCCACTCTGCCCTGCTCCCTAGCCAAGGGGGAGTGATGGGCTCTGGATGGGATCCTCACTGCTCCATGCCTTGATGCTCCACTCCTCAGAGAAGACTTCATTCAGCTAAAAGCTGTGTGCCTCCTGATAAGATGGACAAATATGCCTTTTCCAGCACTTCTTCAGTGGGATTTCAGGTTGGATGAGTTTTAGTAGGGACAGGCTGAAGTTTTGAGACCAGCAGTGGTCATGTTTTCTTCTTACAAGGGAAGCCATTCATCTCATGCAGCCCTTGTTGGCCATCTGAGGTTAACACAGATTCATAAAAACAACTTTACAAATTAATGTTATCATTCCCTTATTCTGTCATAACCATCACTTGATCACTTACAGAATATGTATGCACCACTTGTTACCTGTCCTTGCTGTAGAACAGGGTGTAATTGGTAGGAAGGCCTCCATCTGAGCCAGGCTTCCACCAACAAGAAAAGGTTTCCTTTTCTAGAGAACGACATCTTATTATCTTAGGTTTGCCAGGGTATGACTGACCTAGGGAAGTACAAAAATACAGTTAGTTATATTAGAGGAGGACAATGTTTTTGGGTTTTATTGCTGAGTGATAAGCCCAGCCACCAAGGAGTGCTTTTTTGAAGACAATAAAATTATGCGAAACTATCGACTGAATTGGGCAAATAAATCTGCCTGGAAAAAGGATCAAAATTCTCAGAAAAGTATATATAGATATGTAAAAATATATAAAAATATATTTTTACCTCAAACTTCTAAAATAACTACTAAAATTATTTTGCTTCTCTTTTTAATATGAAATTTTTATTTTTGCCTAAACTCAAAAACTGTATATTTATCTCCAAAGTAAATTGCAATGACTGGAAGTAAATATATGACCTTTGCGGTTTTTTTCTAAAACATTGATTTTTTTAATCTTCAGATCATCTTAAAATTAAATTTCACCTTCAACTTTACAACAGGACTAAAATTTCACTATTTGTGCATAGTTAGGGTAAACTACAGGTTAGACAAAAAGAAAGAAATCAACAGGCTAAATGATTATTTTTGTGTACTAGCAACCTGAATGTACTCATTAATTAGTCGGATATTCACTGGTAATCCAAATACATTTAAGAATATTTCTCGTTAAGACTACCTGTCATTAGGTTATATCAAAAGCACAGACCACTAATTTACGTGTATTTTGACATGAAAAGCATGTGATCTTTCAACTTAAGCTTACCTTTATTTCATTAAAGTTCCATATCACTATCTCAAATAGTGTGACTATTCATATGATGCTAATTTCCCAGAAGGTGACAAGGATGAAGTAAATGTAGGGGTGGAGTGAGTGTCTTTCATCACTGCCACCACACAGTCCTTAAATTAATACTGTATATGAAAAAAGGACTCAAGCCATTTTCAAAATGCCATAAAAAACTTCAGAAGAAAGTACTTTAAATAGGTCCAGGCTCCACTGGTGGTCAAGATAGATTGGGTAAAGCTTCATACTTTTCTAAAGAAAGTGTTTTAAGGAAAAACAAGTGTTTCAGGAAGGGTTGTACTCACCTGTCAGACCTGCTGTAGTAAGAGTAAGTTGCAAAATAATTTGAACTGATGAAATGAATCTCTGCTTCATGATGTCTGCTTCTCCTCAGGAGGAAATATCAGATCAGAGGCTCACTGAAAAACACACCGACATGCAACAGTCAATAACATTGCTTAACGTATAATATGTACTACTTGACTTGATCAAAGTCCTTTTTGAATTGCAGCTAATTGATTCTTGTTCTCTCAAAAAGGTGTGGCAACACCTACAGTTCCACTTCAGAAGGTGAAAACCTGAATCTCCGAGTAGCAAGAAGGTTTTCCCAAAGGTCCTTGAATGGTTAGCAGTGCTAGGATTACAATGTCATAGCATTAACAACTCTTGCATATTTATTTGACATCTTGGGATACCCGGTGCTTATCTTAGAGTTCTAACTTTTACAGTCATTAATTCACCAGAGAAACCAGCTTTTTGGTAACAAAAATACACTTTTATCCCTATTGATACAAAGAAGATGCCAATATATTCGAACACTGAAACTCCTGAGAACAGAAGGCAAATAGAAAAAGTCTAACATTTTTTTAGAAGGTTTTGATTTTTGATCTAATCTCATGACTTCTGAATATTTGAGACTGTTGATATTGAATTCAGGATCACCTGAGCTGAAGAATGCTACTGTTTCTGTGCATTTAATTCATTGTTTTTACTGCATTGGATTTTGCAGTGAAATGGAAATGTCAAAATCAAAGAAAAGAAACCAAGGGACAAGTGACATAATGTCACAGCTAATTTACTGTGTGAAAATGCAAGATGGGATGCAATTATCCCTCTGTCTTCAACCTGTAAAGGCTAATGCTGTAGAACGGCAGAAAAACACGTGCACTTGGAAAGCCACCAGCTGTGACAAAGACCCAGTCCCTGCAGTGGGCTGGCACCACTAGATGTCCTCAGAATTCAGGCTATGACTGGGTGCTCTGGAGACTGTTGTTGCTGAATCTGTTTGCTTAGCCTGAAGGAAAGACAGTACCAATTAAGGCAAACCTGCTGCTTCTCCCACCAATATGCTTCCTGTTTGGAAATGATGACTGCAGTCGGCTATTAGCTTCTCAGTAGCCAGCCTCACTCCTTGAAACTAAAGAAGAACAATTTACCAGCTAAATAGCAGGCTCCTTATCTCAGCTTTCCACTCCCACAAAACACATCTGACAGGCACTTGTATGCTTCCAACCCATCCAGTGTAGCACAGCATGACAACAAGCTGTGCCTTCGGTGAGGAAAAATTCTTCGCGGTTCATCAGATGACTCAATTTTCAGCATGCAATTCATTTTCTGTATCAAGAAACTATAATCCATCATCATACAAATGTTTTTCCAGCACAAAGGCAAATGAAGTATCAGTTAATTTAACTGAGTCTAAAACATGTTTACTGCGGACAGTGAGGAAAAGAACAACAGTTGGCTACATTTCCATATACACTTCCAAATATCCAGGCACATTTCACACCCGTAACTGAGGTACACGCTAGAAAATCACATATGGGTTAGTTTTAGACTCACTCAGAGCATTCTGTGCATATGTAGGCAGGTTTTGAGCAAGCACATGAAAATTTTAGTACTGTAAACAAATGGCAGGCAAAAATGTTAGTGCTTACTTTTAGAAATTAGTTGAAAACTTGGTGTTTTATAATGAGGGACACAGTTGACTGTGCTCATACAAGGCACATTTTTCTCAAGCGAAGGTGAAATAATGAACTATAAACAGTAGTTATTTCATATGATACCATTTAAAATATTTCACTATTTCTAAAAATAGTTGAAACATTTGCAAAATACAGCACTTTCAAACTCAGAGTCTTAATGTGATTCCCTATAAGATAACTGGTACCATGATTTTTTTTTTACTTTTACAGACACATCTTTTCTGTGTGAAGAATTGACAGGTAAGAAAAACTGATTATACTGGCTAAAAGATTGAAATTTTTCAATACAACAAAGGAGAGGTATAACAAAAGATCTCTATTAGAGCACTCTTGAAAGTAAAATGGGATAATTTTGGAAACTGAAGACCTAAAGAACCAAATTAATAGAAAGAGGAAGAAATTAATGCATTTAAAACCAAGTACTTCTTCCTTGGGAGCATTTGAAAATGAGATGATTGTGAATCACTTCTGCAATGTGGCTGTGAAAACAAACAGGAGATATACAGGGGAGGAATATGGACCTGTTAGTGCCACACAGTAGGCTCCACGTACAATTCTCGTCACCTATACTTGGAAAAAAACCAGACCAGATTTAGAACAGATTTAGAACACAGCTACAATCATGACACAGAGGCTGTCTCATGATGTCAATTTAAAAGAATTGGCTTTGTACTCCGTGCAAGGGTGGTTGTCGCCTATAAACGTAGCAGGAGATAAGCATCAAAAGAGGGGAAATAAGAATGTTTCCATGGTTGCCTGGTATTTGGAATTTGTGATTCAAATAGAGTTTATAAGGCTTCTGAAGAGATGTCTTTTTTTTTTTTAAATACTTGCTTAAATAAAATAGATAACAGCCCTTCGTCATAACTGTATCAAAAATGCATCATCTCCCCTATCTATGACATGAAAATGTTTTCATAAAAGGGCAACAAGCATTTCTGAAGATGCTGTGAGGGAATGCCTCACTTTTAGGTCTGAATGCATTCTTTTATAAGGGATACAGTGGACACTGATTTGCCACAAAGTCATGCAAAACCAAGGGTTGAATAACTGATAATTAAAAGATCATATGCCTCCTTTTGAAGGTTTTGATTTAAGTCCAACCAAGTTATTGCATTCTGACATTCCAGCTGAATTTCTCCCTTTTAACACAGCTGTTATATAGTATTCAACAGCTGCACATCACACACTGGAAAACAGTGCTCCTTGACGGAAATGGAAACTATTACAGCAGCATTAAAATGCACAGAAGAGTTAGATGTTCCTATAAAACAATGCTACTGTGGAACTGATAATATAATGAAATTGTAGGTCTGAAAACTGTGCTGACAATGCTACTAGATGAAGCTGAAAGCTAAACACCAGTACTGAAATCAGGTGCTGTGGAGCATGGTTGAGAGACAAACGGTCTTGTCCTAACTGACTTTTTGTTCTTGCATTCTTTTCTTTCTTTCTTGGCTATGCTGATGGACAAATTTCTTGAGGTTGTCAGAGAAGTCTTTACTCAATTCTGCACAGATGGAAAAATTTTCTTGCTGCAATGCTTTCAGGCTTGCAGGAACAGGAACAACTGTGTATCAGCCAATGGCAATGACATTATGTCCATCATAAGTTCTGCTTTTGCGGCTAAATAAATCAGAAGCCAAAAGTACTTTACCAAAACGTACTGAAAAAGTTTCACATTCTCACTAGTCATGATGATAAACAATCTTCATCTTTCAGCCTGGGGGAAGGTAGATCAAGGAGTTCACAAAACACCAGAGTTCATTACCATTTGAAAGGCTTAACTACAGCTATATGAAACCAAGCACAGGCAAAGAACATAATAAAGCAAGAATGTGACAGTCTGTTTGACCATCCAGAACATTCAACTATACTGTGGATACTGCATGAGTCTGCCTTCCCACGCAGAGATCTCAAATGTCAACACAGATACATGTTCCTAGCCATGATTTGAACACTGTTATTGCTAGATGTGTTTCTGAATGACAGTGATGGTTGGGATTATACTGTAAATTAAAAGTTGTAGGTGTGCAGTGTGACAAGAGCTCTGCTTTCTCTCTCTGAATGAGCCCTAATTGGATGTCTCAGAACTCTGAATCCCTCAGGCACCCAGCATGGCCTTCATGGTGAGGTACAGGCTCCAGAGAATTTATGGAATTCAGACATATCTCTGATCTGAATTTCTTGTGACTGATTCCAGGTGGCTACTTAGCACATAGCTTCTGTGGAGTACTTTGTGAGGATGCTTAGTACCTGCTGTTGGCTATGTAAGGGAACCTTGACATCCAGTTAATTTATTGGGACTAAGGACTTCATATTTCTGTGTTGCATAAAATGGGAGCAACGTAAAGGTCTTTTAGATTTCCTCTGAAAAGCCTATACATGGGTTATAATATATTTTTCCTAAATTTCTCTCCTAAACAAACCACCTTGACCTCCTAATATCTCTTTGCAACCCTTCCTTTGATTAGCAGTCAAGATGTGATGATGAATGGAACAACTGTCCTCACACATGGAGATATGTTTCTCCATCTGAAAGACTTGATTAATTTTTGAAAAAGAAAAATCATGAAAACACAAATTCTTGAAAATAGTTTAGGCCCTCACCTTCTCCATCATAGTATTTATGCTCTTCGCTTCTATTTATTTTACAGAACTGAGCTTGAAACTCTCCTAAAAACTCTCACCATTTAAATTGACAAAGAAAAAAAAAAAGCAAGCCATGACAAGAAGGAAGTGCCATTATCCTTACTTTACAGATGCAGAACGAAAACACAAAATAACCAAGTGCTTTGCTCAGACTCATAAGTTTAACAGAAGCTAAAAAACGATCATTTACTACAATTTTTCTTTTCTTTTCTAAATGCCACCTCTACTGCCTTTGTTTTCCTACTAAAACATGATTTACCTAACAATAGCAATCTTTATCTACCAGTTTCACAGCCCCTGAATATTCCACTTTCTTCCCTGGTGGTTTGAATGTTTAGCCATGATTGCAGGATTATTATTTTTACAGCTGTCTTCTACAGAAAAGAAAATCATAAGCTCTAAAGAGTAAAATTTTAGAGTCTGAAAGCTAGAATTTACATTAGAACTTGAAATATGATGGAAATTAATCTCTACCAATTATCAAGCCCAACCCCACAGTTATCTTCCTACAATAATTTTAAATATTCTTCGTATACAGAATAGTCATGAAATATACAGTTGAATTTCCTACCTAAAAGATTCATGTATGTAAGGAAGCTTTTGATTCCTCTCTTTCATATATGTCAGATCACTTCATAGGCTGCAAAAGAAAAAGAAATCTGGGATTAGTATATTGCTGGAAGTATCACTACTTTATTCCTAAAACATAGGGAGAAAAAATGTCACTCTTTGTATTAGCTGCTGTAGATACTGAAACCTTAAGTCAATACATTCAAACATTGAGAGCAATAGAGACTGAGGTAAAATACCGTGTTACTGTATATCCTTTCCTTTATCTGTTTCAATAAAAGCAGAGAATTTTGTAGCAACTTCAGACGCAGTTTAAACTTACTAGTAGGCTGTGCTAGGCTACTTCAAGGCTAATCAACATCTACACAGGCCGGGCCAGGATCAGACAAAAACTGACAGCTCTAGCAGTGTAATTAGTGAACATGGGGTGCAGGGAATGAGCTTCACCTGACTAATAAAGCACAGTCCTTGTGTGGAACCCATCAAACAAAATCCCTTCCCCACATGCCTCATTGACTGAAGGAGGTATAGCACACATTAAGTGATGCCTGAGGGGAAAGAATGTAGGGAGGAAAGGAAAGGATCAAAGTGGACTGGGGAGAAACAAGCATGGGAAAACCGGTGGCTTGTCAGATTGAAATGTGTGCCTGATCACTGAGGTCTGCCCTATGCTCTCATTAAATCCTATTTCTAACTATCTTCTGTCTGCATGGACTGTTTTGAGTGGTATGTTTGGATGCTATGGAACTTTCAGCTGGATTAGCCAGTGGAGAAGAGAGGGATTGCAAAACCTCCAGGCTCAAACGCAGCTCCCCTGCAACTGGGGAGACCAGGGGATCTGGGGCCAGCTACTGGGTCACCTAAGCATCCAGGAGCAGCTACTACAGCAAGCCATTTTTTGTGTGCAGATGCACACACATATGTGTAAATGTATATGTTACACGCAAATGTTACGGCTTCACTGATGTGCATTACCCCTGTGCGGTTTTTGTGCCCATGCACCCACCCTTTGGGAGCAGCTGCTCAGCTTTGCTACAGGCAGAAATTGAGGATATGGACCTAAAGCAGCCCCACATTTATGGGATTATCTGATTCAACTGGCTCTAACAGACTGACATGCAACATTTCACCAAAAAATACCCCATCAAGTTTAACTACTTGCTCTTTGTCATTCCATCCAAACACACTATTCTGTGAAGAAAGAACTTAGATGAACTTCAGTGGGCAACTTATCTGACAGAGCAACAAAAACTCTTTAATTAATTAAATTATTAGCTTTGAAATTACTAACTTCACCACACTATTTCTGACAGAAATCTCTCCATAAACAATTTGAAATAAACTAGAATATTTTCTAACTAACATTAAGAATATACTGTGTCTCCTGGAGACCAGGTGGAAAGACATATTACTCAGTTACCACGGTATTCTTTTGTTTGGCTCCATTTCAGTAAAGCTAATGAGAGCAATAAAAATACCATGAAGTTATTTGGCAGCTAGACATTATGCCATTACAGAGGAACGGATTTAATTGAGGGCGATAAATGGTTTCTTTTTTATGTGCATATTTAAAATGGCATCAATAACATACAACTGAATATGGCAGAAATAATGTTTGCAGTTACTCAACCATGACACAAGGTAAAGTGTAGTTTAAAGATGGAGCTCAATAAATGCTTTCTGCTTTAGAGAGTACAGAAATCTGGCTGACAGTGTGCATGCTGGGAACACTGACTAGAAATGGACTAAATAGAATTTTCTCAAAATTCTGCCTCAGATCTAGATTGCTTCACAGAGACATTTTAAAAATAATGCAGTTGCTTAACACTTAAAGGGAAGCCTAGTTCTAAGAGCAAATGAAGGTATGGTTATGATCACTGAATAAAAATAACATTTTTTCTGGTTTCTACTACTTGATACTGCATCAAAACATACAGTTCTATCCGCCTAGCAAATTTTTTTCTGCTCTCGAGACTGCCTTCATCAAGAAGTGACTTTATGAATTAGTGATACATCCTTACACAATATGACTGACATAAAATATGTTTTTTATTAAAGTTGCAATAGTGCCATAAGCATTGGCTTCATCGTATCACTGACTGGAAAGGATCATGGTAGAACACACCCTAACCTTCTGCAATAACCAGGGCAATGACTTTCATCCAAGTATTTCCACATCAAATAATCATTATTTATTGTGATAGTCCTGACAACAAAGAAAGAATCCCACTGTCTTAGGTACTGTACAAAGAAGAGTTTCTGCTCTTAAGATCCAAAAATGTAAGTAGCCAATTAATAATACAGAATGGAAGACAGGGATCTAAAAAGCAGGTCAAAACTCGAACATTTTTTGTTTGAGACTAAAAATTATTTTAATTGTAAAATATTTTCAAAATATCCCATAAACTGGAAACTGTCTATGAAGGATAAGTTTTAGAAAATTAATTTCAGAATGCCACAAATTTTTTTTCAACCACAACCAATGCACCCAAATTTTCAAAATTCCAAAATGAATAACTAACACCAAACATCAACATAAAGCATTTTGTTTTGAAATTTACCATTAGAATATTTTATAAAACCTAATAAAATAATTGCAGTATTTTTTCAACTACTTTTTTTCAAGTGAAATCATGCTGTGATGAAAAATTTCTGATAATCTTTAATTATACACAAAAATTTCAATGAGTAATGCAATGGCATGAAACTCTTGCTATTTTGACAATTCTGAGAGAAGATGGTGGTGTAGAGGTGAGGAGGTTTATTGCAGAGAGACAAAAATTATGAACACTTTAGAGGAAGCAAAGGAACAGGACTTTGAAACTAGTAAAGGGAACACAATAATGGAGAAAAGTGTGAGAGGTTAGAGGGAACAAGACAATAAGGAAAGACACAGAAGGGGGAAAGAGCAAATAATCTGCTTGCACCAGGCAGTAAAGGATCGGCTGAACTTGTCATTTTGGTTGTACTCCATTATTCCACTTGAGTTGCAAAGCTCCACCCACTGGATGCCACACCCAGATAGACTTTTCTTGGTGAACACAGGTGATAGGGTTGAGTGGAGGAGCAGCATCTCCTGGATCCTAGTGCCTGCGAGCATCAGTAGAGTAATGCTGAAGGAGGATGTGACCTTAGCTCCAGAGCAGTTTCTTTAGTCTCTCTCACTGAGACAGCCCATTTTGGCTGAGTCTGAGTCTGGAGTCTCTATGCAAAGCTTTATGACTGTGGAAAGACTCTAAGGGAAAGAACCTGGCTGCAGGGGAGCAAATGTTCTTCTTCAATCACAAATATGCTCAAACACTAACAATATCAGTGGGAGCAGAGAATAATAACTGTTTTTCTGTTTCAGTGTTCTCTTTTTCAGGAGGTCCTCAGTATGAGGTTGTAAAAGAAGGTGTTTCTTTGTCTGTTTCCAAGTACATATTGAACATTTACACTTGAATTGTTTAAGTGACTGTAGAGTCATTCTGTAAAAGAACACAATTACCAAAAATTACCACTCCAATCAAACTGATAAAAACACTCAATGTCCTATTATTTTTCAAACATATTCCCCAAGCTTCAAACTTGTTGATAAAAGAGCTTTGTGGTTGCATGCTAAAGGCCACCACTAATGCCATGTACAGATAAGTGGCACACTGGTTAGCTAACGGAATGAAACAATGCTATCCTGATAATCTAAAACTAATTATTTGAGAGAAATTGCTGACAATAATGGGAGTATCACAATATTGAACATTCAGCCTTCAGTTTATTGAGCTTAAAATAATGAATCTTTTGGCACTTTTAAAGCATTATACTGCCTTTAATACTGGAATATGTGGATATGCAGAGAAGTATCTTTATTATGCCTAGCTCAAATCTTGGTGGGATTTTGTGGATCTCCTCCAGTACCTAACTCCTGAGTAGCCTCATGTTTAACACATAATGGATTATTCTCCATAGGAGTTTGGTTAGTTGGCATTAATCCCTAACGTCAGTGGAAAACACAGTTTCCTTGTGAGGAGAGTTTTATTACCGAAAGTTAAATGTGCAAACTTATGTGCTAAACCAGTAATAGCATCAATACTGTTCTATCACAACCCTGTTAAGTTCTACATAGATGGTCATCTTCCAGGAAAAAAAATAAAAAATAATAATAAAAAAATTAGTTTTGCAGTGGAAGAAAACTGAAGCTCCTGAAAGTTGCATTCTGAGGGAATTGAATTCACCCTTTGATCAGGAGAACAAATTTCCTGTCTGATTTCTTCATGATGAATATATAAACTCAATGAAGTAGAGCACTAACCTGATCTACTCCTCATCTTCATCCCAGGCTGCTACTCCTTGGAGATTGTCAGCCACAGTGAATTGTGGTTTGGATTTTTCTTTTCTTTTGCAGTTTAAGGAAATGACCCTGAGGTTGCAGACTGTGAAATTTTTATGTGCTTGTTTACAGAATAAAGACTAACACTGCAATCTCTGGAGGTTAAAGGTAAATTTATTAATGTATTCATTCATTAACCCATTCATTCATTAACTCATTCGCTCAGCTCCTTACAAACTGCAATGACAACACTGTGTCTCCTACTGCTGAATGTTTCTGACAGGTAATAATTGCATCCCTGACAGTAAATAAGCATCTGCCAAGAATCTATTTGAAGAAATTAATTTTGCAAAGAAAAAGAAAGCTTTATAGTGCAGCAAAGACAAACAAACAGCTTCACAAACAGATCAACTAAATATGGGACATTAGGTTTCAGGTTATGGGTAGTGTTTAGATTTAGCAAACTAAGGACATAAGAACGCCTCTCCCTTATCTCTTCTGTAACACCAAATTTGAAGTAAGATTTAACATGAATATTTCAGTTTGCCCTACTCCTCTGTGGAGTTGGCACACTTCTTGGTTACATAATGAAGAAATGGCTACTTAACAGAATTTGAAGAAGAAAACATTTTGAAGATTAAAAAATATATTCTGTACTAGAGAAAAATCTACTTCAACATTTTTCTTCAGTTCATTTCTGCTATTTGGTGAAAAAAAGAATCAGAATGAAATGAAGGAGTTTTGGTTACACCATGTATCAATACATCAGGCTACACCTCTGTTTTCAGCAAATGTTCTTGATTTACTGTATATCGTACAGCTTCACTGGCTGTGAAATTTCTCCTTCTTTGCACTCAATATCAGATTGGACCTACAGTCTGTACAGTAATTACTAAGTTTTATAGACCTTATTATACTTGGTAATGACTTAACCTTGGAACACTGGCGTCAACACCAGAGTCCTCTGCCTTCGAAATGACATACTTCTTCAATATTATAAAATACATTCAATTTAGGGGAAGGTGTGAAGGTGGGAGCTACTTGCAAGCAAACCCACGTGATTTTCACCTAAAAGAAACTGACAAAACCTCAAAAGTTTCAATAATTGCAGGTGGACAAAGATGAATTTTTTTTATGCCCAAGCATCTGAAATGTCAGACCTGCATCTTTTAATCAGACAAAGGCTATCTCACAAAAATATAAACCTCCCCAATTCAAAGTTATTAAATCTGAAATAACAATGACATTTATTTTAGAAATATTTAATATTTACAAGGAATGAAAGAAAAGGCATAAGTATCAAGAAC